GATGACACACACTGCAGTGAGTAGTGGGAGGGTTTCCCTTGTGCTGGAGTTTCTGTTCCTAACAAGAAGGCATCACAAGAGTCACAAAGTGCAGAGATAGAACCAGGTGAAGCAAGTCTTTTGGGTGAAGCAAGTCTCCTTTAGCTAAGGAGGGACCATAAAAGAAGTCAGCCTAGAGCTGGCTTTCTACATGCAGATGTTCTTCTGTGCATGAAGGAAGGAGCATGAAGGGGTACTCTGGTACCCCCACACCAGTGTTTGCTGTGTAAGTGCATTTTAGAGCAGTTCAAATCAGGAGGGAAGGGAAAAGCAGCAGAAAGCAGATGTGTGAGCTGTGCAGACATCAGCATTGTCCCCTGACACACCACAGAGCATCACTGGAGGAACTTTGTGGGTTTGGCTGTCCAGTTTTGTGTCACAGCTTCTTCCACCAGGAGAAGACACTGAACTTCTGCCCATCCACCCCACCACAGGACCTTGGGGTTTGCAGAGGTGCAGTGGTAAAAGCACTTTCTGAAGCCTCTTCTGTAAGCAGACCTGGACAAAACAGCAAGGAATCAATCATTTGCTGGTGAAATTTCTTTGTCTTCCATTTACAGATGGCCCACACAGACATTCACAGCCTCCTCCTCCTCCTCTCCACCTTACTGGGAATGGGCAGAGGCTCAAGTGCTGAGAATGCCCCAAAGACAGACACACACGTCACTGCTGTAGGACATCATGAGCCTGTGACACTCACTGCCACAGTGGCTGGATGGATAGGAAGAGTGAGAAAGAAACAAGACGTTCCTATGGGTAAAGATAATCACGGTTCCTCAAAGTATACAAACCCACACAGACCACAGAATTCTCTCAGGCACTGGAGAATAAACCAGCCACTAAAAGCTGATGAAATGTTCCTTTATGAGCTAGGTTCTTGTCCCTGTCTTTGAAGCAGCTGCTCAGGAAGCTGTGTAAGAAGCTGCTCACATCTGGCACTGCCCCTGTGTGCAAGTGCCCTGACGTCCCAGGGCGCTCACATTTCCCTGTCTGGTTTCAATTCCCTGCCTCTCTTGTACCTGGAAGTAAGCAGCCTCCTGCTTGTAACAACCTCAGAATCCATCCTGTACCTGCACCACATTTACAAGCAAGCGCATAGCTAGTCAAGCAGGAAGGAATTCAGCTTTACAGAAATAATCCCCCAAACTGTTATTAGCTTTTTGTAGCTACATTAATTTTAGAAGAAAAATTAGGTCCAAAGTGCTGTGCTCATTTTAATGAAGATTCGCGGTCACAGTTTAATCCCTGGAGCTCCGGAGCACATCAGACTCATTGCAAACTCCTCACAAAGTCACCAGAGTCCCACGAGTGGTGCCGGGGAAAAGGGGCTAAAGGGGAATGCTTCCGAGCACGAAGTAGATGAAACCCAAGGTCCTGAATCTGCACTTCCCTTGGCCGCCAGCAGCCGCGACGCTTCCAGACAGATAAAAGCTGCCAGCGCAGAAGATGAACAAGAGAACAGCTCTGAAGCAGGCACGCTGCTAAAAACAACCTGGGGAGGATGGGCTAGAGATGAAAGCGGCAGGGCTGGAGGTGCCGTAGTGATTTCAGGAGGCATGAAGCCTGGGAGCGGAGCTGGCACCAGCGCCGCCGTTCCGAGCATCCTGAGGTGCGGAGCGCACGTAACAGCATCCCGGCTGCTGTCCGCTCCTGCTGCAGGCAGCAGCGCACTGCCAGCCCCAGGGGAGTCCCCGGAGTCTCACGGTGCTCCTTGGTGACTGTCTCCTTCTTTCCACATCTGCTTTAGCGCTTTCCATCCCCTCGTTTTGGCTCTGGGCATTACGCAGGAGATCCGTGTTCTTCTTTAGAATACTTCTTGCTGTTGATTTGAGCAGGAGGAGCCAGAGGCATCTCGGTGTTTCCTCATTACCTTGGTCTGATGCAGCCATAGCAGTATCACAGGGGCATGTGGAGCCCAAGGCTCAGCCGGTGCTGGAGGCTGTGCAGACACACTAGACAAAGACAAATCTCAAACTTCAGATGTTCCGTGGGGCAGAGTATGTAACACTTGGTGCTGCTCTCCAGGGAGAGTTTTCCTAGGCATTTTTTGGGCCCTTGTAACATAAAGACAGAGGAGCTTATGTCTAAAGAACTACAGATCTTGTCCCTGAGGATTGTCTCTATCAGCAGGTAGCTTTCCCCATGTGGGACAGCATGCTGGGCTTTCTCTAGTGATAGCCCCCCTCTGCAGAGACCTCACCTGCTGTGTAAGTGTGCAGGGAACAACCAGATGAGGTGAAGGTGCAGGTGATTACATCCTGATGACTCCTACAGTTTTCCCTGGAGAAGCAAGGACAGCATTTCAAGGCAGCTCAGGGCTGAAGATGCTTGCAGTTGTGATTCTGATGAAACCATACTGGAGAGATGGAAGGCCCATGTTTGAAGATGGCCTTGCAGCATCAGCCAGATCTGCTTTAGAACCTTTGACAGGAGGTTTTGGAGGACACTTGTAAGGGGAGCCTAGTCCCCAAAGGGAGGGATGTTGAGCTGGGCTCACAGGAGTCAGGGCTCAGAAGGGTACATGGATTAAACCAGTTCAAACCCTCATCTGCGTGGTCTCATACCACGTTGGCCTCAGGCTGCTTTCTTCTGCCTCATGCTTGTGTTTGGGGCCAGGGGAGGCTGAGGAACCCATGGTGTTGATATACCAGTGAGACCTGGGCACATCCCTTAAACCCAGACTCCCAGGGCCACTGCAGGGAGGGTCTTGAGGAACGAAGCCATTGCCTGGTTTCCCCATGTGTCCCCCGGCATCAGAGCAGCTTTAGAAGACAGGGTTGCAGCTTCCTTTGACAACCTCACAGACCGTGAGGTCTCCTAGGAGAATTACAAGGTGTCCCCAGCCATGAGCTGGGGGCATTCAAACCGAGGTAGCTTGAGGAGATGATTCACAGGGTGTGGGGTACAGGGAAGGGATTTCTCAGGGCTGGCTTCCTCTTTCTCTTCACTGCTCTTTTCCCCTCTCAGCACCCTCCCACTCTAAGGAAAGCTGCCTGCCTATAGCTACAGGGCATCGCTTCAGTTCCTGCCTCTTTGCTGTGATTCCTCCCTGTCCTCTGTGTGTCCTTACAGCTGGCAACGCCGTGTATGTCTTCAGGAAATGTTTGCAAAGGCTTTAGTTTGGTTGGCAATGGGACACAGGGGAAGCACCAGGACTTTGAGGAAATTCTAGCACGGGGCCCCAGAGGCTCAGTGAAACCTCCTGTGCTCATTGCTGGCTCAAAACTGCCTTCAAGAACCGTGTGATGGCTGCGCCTGGCCACTGGGTATGCCCAGGGCATTGTAAGCCCATTCTTGCAGCACCCTAGAGCTGACCTGGAGAGGAACCAGAGTGAAGAGGTGGGGAGTGGGGGATGCCTTGTCCTGCACCCCAAGCACAATAGCTGAGCCCTTGCAGCAGGGACCTGGGGTGCAGTTGGACTCAGTGCACTTTCCCAGGGATGCTCCATTGACCCTGGGAAAGCTTATGTATCTCTGGGGTCCCTGTCCCTTGTGTGCATTCATTATGGTCTGCTCATACATGTCCATAAGGATCTTAGGCTGGTTCAGCCCAGAGAACAAAAGGCTCCTTAAAGGGAGACCTTAGAGCAGCTCCAGTGCCTGAAGGGGCTGCAGGAAACCTGGAGAGGGGCTTTGGCCAAGGGCCTGTAGGGACAGGCCAAGAGGAATGGCTTTAACCTGCCAGAGGGGAGACTGAGCTGAGCTCTTAGGCAGAAGCTCTTCCCTGTGAGGGTGCTGAGGCGCTGGCACAGGGTGCCCAGAGAAGCTGTGGCTGCCCCATCCCTGGCAGTGTTCAAGGCCAGGTTGGACACAGGGGCTTGGAGCAAGCTGCTCTAGTGGAAGGGGTCCCTGCCTGTGGCAGGGGTTGGAGCTGGATGAGCTTTAAGGTCCCTTCAACCCAAATCAGGCTGGGATTCTATGACCATACCTTCCCCAAGCTGTGACAGGGAACACACCACTGCTTATGGCCAGAGAGTCCGCAATGTGCTTACACATCTGTAGGGTCTGTGTAGCACTCAAACAACCACAGGGACCATATTTCCTGCACACATCAATCCAGAATCTCATGCAGTTACAGGAACAATACTGAGTGCACACACTATTAGGGACCGCATCCCCTGCCTGTCCCTGTCTTCCTATAGACACATGTGTGGACCATATAGCGCACACTCCTACAGACACTACCCCCCTGCCTTCTCTTGCGGGGACCATAACTCCACACGCTGCACCTTGGTCCCACAAGCAGGGAGCATGTCCCCTGCATGGGTCTATAGGCACCCTGCCCACTCTCACCCCTGCAAGGACCCTTCACCTATGCACCCCACAGGGACTCTTCCCCTGCAAGGGCCCTTCCCACACTCATCGCTTTAGGGCCCCTTCTCCTGCAAGGACCCTTCCCCTGCGCCCCTATAGGACCCTTCCCACTCTCCCCCCTATAAGGGCCCTTCCCCTGCGGCCCTATAGGACCCTTCCCACTCTCCCCCCTGCAAGGACCCTTCCCCTGCGGCCCTATAGGACCCTTCCCACTCTCCCCCCTGCAAGGCCCCTTCCCCTGCACCCCTATAGGACCCTTCCCACTCTCCCCCCTGCAAGGCCCCTTCCCCTGCGCCCCTATGGGACCCTTCCCACTCTCCCCCTATAAGGCCCCTTCCCCTGCACCCCTATGGGACCCTTCCCACTCTCCCCCTATAAGGCCCCTTCCCCTGCACCCCTATGGGACCCTTCCCACTCTCCCCCTATAAGGCCCCTTCCCCTGCACCCCTATGGGACCCTTCCCACTCTCCCCCTATAAGGCCCCTTCCCCTGCGGGCCCCTCCCTCTCTCTCCCCCGGCCCCATCGCAGCGGGCGGTGCCGGTGCCCGCGGTCCCTCCGCGCGCCGCCGCGGTCCCGGTGCTGTCGGGGGCGGTCCCTCCGGCGGTGGGCGGAGCTTCCTCGAGCCGCCGGTGCCCGGCCCCCGCCAGGCGCGCGGAGCCCGCCGGCCCCGCCGCAGTCCCGCTCCGGCGTGGTAAGGCCGAGTGCGGGCGGGGCCGGGCCGGGCCGGGGGTGCCGGAGCGCGCCGCGTTCTCACCCTCTCCCCGTCTCTCGCAGCCCCTCTCCGGAGCAGCCGCTCACCGGGTACCGGGACCCCGCCGCCTCCAGCCCCGCGCCGCCGGCATGAAGCGCCCGGCGCCGGGCAGCCGCCGCTGAGGAGCAGCGGGACAACCCCCCCCCCCCCCCCCCTTCCCCTCCTTACCCCACAACCGGCACCCTCCCTGCCGCACCCCCTCAACAGCCACCAGCTCCATGGGGCAGCGCCGCGGCCGCTGAGCCCCGCGCCGCCCGCCCGCCTCGCCCCGCCATGGGGCCGCGGCACCTGCTGCTGCCGCTGCTCCTGCTGCTGTCCCTGCAGCTCCTGGCCCTGCTGCTGGCCGCGCAGGCGGCCGGGCCCCCCCGCGCCAAGGGCAACCGGACCCAGGGGGCGGCGGCGCCGCGGCGGACCCCGAAGCCGGGCAAGGAGCTGCTGAACCAGACACTGGCGGGTCCCGGGGCTGCGGCCCCGACGGCGCTGCCCGGCCGCGGCAAGGGCGCGGGGAGCGGCAGGACGCCCTCCGGCGGCGGGGGAGGCGGCGGGGGCTCGGCCCCGGCGTACGAGACGTGCTGGGGGTACTACGACGTGAGCGGGCAGTGGGACAAGGAGTTCGAGTGCAACAACAGCCTCACGGGCTTCCGCTACTGCTGCGGCACCTGCTTCTACCGCTTCTGCTGCAACAAGCGCGCCGAGAAGCTCGACCAGAGCCTGTGCCGCAACTACAAGAGCCCCGAGTGGGCCCACCCCACCACCGCCAGCGGCGTGCTGCCTGCCGACGGCAGCGACGGCGCCGATGGGGACGCCAACAAATACGACCCGGACAAGGACAGCACCAACGCCACCGTCTACATCTCGTGCGGGGCCATCGCCTTCGTGCTCATCGCCGGCGTCTTCGCCAAGGTGGCCTACGACAAGGCACGGCGTCCACCCCGAGAGATGAACATACACAGGTGCGACCCTCCCCCTGCTCCCGGCGCCCCTTCCTTCTAGGGGCACCCTCCTTTCCCCAGGTTCCTCCTTTATGCTGCCTCTCCAAGTGTTTCCCCTTTGCACTGTCTGTCCAAAGGCTTCCCTGTCGTGCAACCCATCCAGGGGGTCCTCCTTTCAACCACCCACCTAAGGGCTTCCCCTTGTGTGCAGCCTGTCCAAGAGTTTCCCTGTGGTGTGACCCCTCTGAGAATTCCACAGGCTGCCCCAGGGTCCTGCTTTTGCTCACTCTCTGAAGGTTCTCCCCCTGTACGACCTGTCCAGGGGGTCCCCCGAGTGCTGCCTGATCAAGTCTTCTTCCTCTGCACTGTCTTGACCACGCGTTTCCCCCTCGCGCCACCCTCCCGAGTGTTTCCCCTATCCAGCGGCTGCCCAAGGGCTTCCCTTTCGTGCTGCCGGTCCAGAAGAGCTTCCACTCGCTCACGCTTCGAGGGGTCTCCCCGTGAACTGCTCACAGAGGGGTTTCTCCTTTGTGAGTGCTGTCCCAGCCTTCTCTCTCTGCACCACCCGCAGCTTTTCGCCTTTTCACCATCTACCCGGGGGTTCCTCCTCGGCAGTGCCCAGGGACACCCCGACCCCGCACCCCCATCCTCATCCCCTCCCCTGTCCCTGTTGGGGGGGACCCGTCCTGTGCCCTCTCCCGGCCCCGGGCTGGGAGCCCCGTTCAGCACCGCGGCTGCGGACAGCTCCGCACTGCCCCGCTCTCCCCTCCCCGATCCTCTCATTGACCCCCCCGCCTCCCCCATCGCCCCTTGATCCCTCCCATCACCAACCAGCCCCCCCATCGCTTCTTAGACCCCATCACCCCCTGAGTCCCCTACTTCCCCCTGGTCCTCCCCAGCTCTCCTATTGCCCATGGGTCCCCCCCTTGTCCCCCGGAGAGCAGAGACCCCCTGAGCACCATGGGTCCTGCCATGCCTGGCCCGGCTCAGGGGAGAAGTTCAGAGAGTGCGAAGGCAGTTGCTGCTTCTGGCCTTTGCAAGGGGAGTTCAGGGAAGCCCTGGCAGCCGGGAGTGTTCCTTCTCTTTCTTTCTTTTCGCCTCTAAATGGGGATAACTTGAGCTAGTGGTCTGTCTGCTCTGGCCGGCTGCTCAGGAAGTGCTTTGGCATCCTTTTCTCCAGTTTTACACATTGCTGTGACAAGAGAGAACACTCTGAATGTGTCAGGGAAAATCCTGTTTAAAAGCAGAAGCTCAGGCTTCTGTAACAGTTCTCCTGTTGGACACATGCATGTATTCTCTCAGTTCCTATTTAGTGTTTGATGTACTTTGTGCGTGCTACGAATCCGGGAGGTTCCTGTGTTTGAACATAAAAATTAGTGAGGCGCTTCTGTATAAGAGCAGTTTGTGAGCGTGAGTGGGGTGAGCCCTCATCTCTAACAGATAATGATTCATAAAGGAAGTAAGGAAGAAATTTTAATCAAAACCATTAAAATCATTGACCATGTTTTTAAGGCTGAACTTCAGTCACAGCCAACAGTGTCTCATGGGAGAAACTGTAGCTTTTTACAAAGAAAAGGAGACAAGCGATGCAGATTTTATGTCTTTGGGAAGATGTGTTTTAGACTCCTCGCTTTGTAAATGGTGCTGGCTGATGTGAGTTACTGTGCGTTCAATGGGGACAATAAGTAATGCAGGTTTATGCTTGCTGAGGGTCTGGGCCGTGTTTTCAATCGCAAACCTGCTCTGACTTTGAGAGAAAATAACTTCATGGTGTTAAAAATCTCTAATATCTTTCAGGTCCCTTGTGTCTGTGCAGTCAGGAGTCCCGAAAGTACCTTAGAAAACATGTTATTTTAAGTGTTTTCATAACCAGGGGCTCAGTCTCCCAACCACTGAGCTCTTCTGGCTTCAAGGCAACTTTTTCTGTGCCTTCTCTTCACACTGAATTTGGAAATCTGATTTGGGTGCCCGTATGTTGCTTCTCCTCTGGCTCCAGGGTTGGATCCGACACCCTGTAAAAGCAGAGACGGTGTTGCCAGACTCGTCTGAATTATTCCTGATGTTTTAATTTCTTTGATGCTCGCTGTTCTTTATTTAGATAAGATCTGGTAAAATGATTCACCTGTGTGTAGAAGTATGAATGGCAGATTGAGTGCTTGGAAAGCTTGGCTTTCAGAGCATTATAAGGAGTTGATTGACTTCTATGATATGGTAGCTGGTAAAAGATTATACCTTTCAGAGCTGTGTTACCTGAACTTGATCAACATCGCACGACGGTTTAAATATTATGAAGGGCATCTCCAGCAGACAGGGGCTGCATCAGTCAGAGGTAAAATGCTCTCAGTGCCTGAAGCAGAATGCAAATATGAGGAGAGGTTTATCTTTGTCTGAGAACTGCTGCTGAGTAACAGGGAAGGAGAGAATCAGAATGTAGGCAGGTATTTGTGTCTGAGATTGTGTCACTTGGAGTTAAGTGTAACACCCGGAATAATTCACTGTGGTGATGGCAAGTGCATTAAATCTCAGTGTGCATCCCAGCAAAACCCCTGGGATGAGGAGAACGACAAGTATAAGCAGAAATCATTGCAGTGGGCTAGAAAATGTCCACAGTGAACAGTATCCCACACCCAGGGAAGATGAAGCAAGGCTTCCCTGCTCTTCCCCATAAGCAAGATCACACTTCCAGTTTTATTTCATCATGAATGATTGGTTAGCAGTACTCTGTGTAGATCTTATTTCTCTGCTAAGTTCTCATCCAGCTTTTACAGAAGACCCTTATTAACTCAGAAAGAAGGTTTTGATGGAGGCAGGGCTCATTTGATGTCCTTTGATGGAAAGGAGGGTTTGCAAATTCACAGGAGAACTGGTACTCTCATGTGAAGTGGAAGGATGTCTGTGCATGGAGATATGCGTGTGCATTGCCGAGCTGAAAAGCTGGGCTTGTTTTCAGGCACAACCACGTCCCTTTAAAGCAGAAGCACTGCTGTGATTCTGGGCTGAGCAGTGACAGTAACTGATCCTTAAGTTCCTTTCTAAGAGCAGCTATTGGAAGTACTTTGAAAAACAGGAGCTAAAATATTCATATTTTAGAGAAGCACTTGTAATGCTTTAAACTTGGCTGATTTTTTTTTGATGGTTACAGGATCTTCCAGCCTGACCACGTATGAATACCTCTTGTCTGGATCTTGCTTTGGAGTTACGCTGTCAGAGCTAACACATGCCGGGCTCCATGTAGAAACTGGGGCTGATTTCTGAAAGCTATACCCAGCAACGCTTTGCCTGCTGATGCTCTCTGACTGCATTTGTGACGAGGGTTTGGTTTTGTCAGTTTGTCAGAGCTTTTTCTTTTCTCGAGCACTGAAGTCTTTGCTTTACTTTCAGTATGGGAAAGCGTTAGGAAAGCTTTGACGGTGAACGTGCTGTTTGTTTTCAACGCTGAGTATGTTTTTCTGTAACAAGGAAGGGTGACCCAGAATATTCTCTTCCCATGGCCATGACCCTAAATCCCCACGCTACAGCACATAAATAATTCCCTGCTGGTAGTATCGCTCTCTGACCCGTGTTTAGCCCTCAGCACCAGTCACCGTTGTGCTCTCTGCTGAGTTAGGAATGATCAGATTGGGAACTGCTCATAGTTTGCAGCTAGGATTTGAAATGTTCTCGGCTCCTCGCTGCCTGGGAGCTGGAGGGAGGCAGTGGTGGTGATGGCACTGGGGGAAGCTCAGCTGTTCTGTAGCTGCTTCGAAGCAGAGCTGTGATTTTTTTTTTTTCCTTAGCAAACTAGCTTTTGTATCTGCTAAAAGGCCATCTTCTGTATCTGTCCTTGCACGGAGTGTGGCTGTTGAGTGTTTTGGCTTTTGAAAGGGAGAAGGGAAACAAACACCTACTGCTCAGAGGGCGTCACATCACCCTGCTCCTTAGGGCATCTTTGTTGTTACAAAGAAGAAAGGTATTTGTGCTACTCTTTACTTTGGTCTCTGCCTTTGCATCCTCTGCGCTGTGAATAATAGCAGTGACTGGTTTATACATTAACTTTCTTTTCCTATGTAGAGACCACAGTTAAATCAATCCATTTGCCATTTTTCCTTTGCAGCTCTGAATTTCAACAGGAATCAGAGGCAATGGATCTGTCTGTCCACAGATGCAGGAAGGCTGCTGCTGCATGATGCTAACTGAAAACACGGGAGGTTTTCTCTTCCTTGAAGCTGCCCCTCACCACGGCCCCTGGGCTCTGTGGCTTCCAGACTGTGGTCACCAGTTCTGCTCTGTGCTGCTGTGTGGTGCTTGAGCCAGACAAACTTCACACTTCACATGTCCCAAGGGCAAGGAGAGGGGCTGTGAGCTCCAACCTGGCCTTAGACAATTTTCTTTCTTGGGTGCTGACACTTCTTTCTTTCCCCTTCTCGTTGTGTTTTTGCTCTTGCTTCTTATTGTATTCCACTCTGTCTCATTCATCTGACACACTCATGTGCCTTCTATCTGCTCTTTGCCCTGCTTTGGATTCCGTATTCCTGATGGCTTCCGAGACTCATCTCTGATGTGCCCTGTTCCTCTCGCAGGCACAGAATGTAGGTCCACAAGCACGTGTCAGGCTTGCTTAATGTAAAACAGAAAAAGGCACAATCTTGTGGCCTCAGAGAAGTACCTCATGACTAGTTCTTCTGTTTCGAGCCAGTTCTGCACCTTGCTGTAGTTGGGGTAACTCCCGTGCAGGGAGAAGACCTGAATCTTGTCCTCTTGCCACTGAATTGCTGGAGCTCACCAAATCCCAGCAGGATGTACTGGAGAAGCTTCAGTCTGAAGCTCTTGGCACACTTTGCAGTTTGGTAACTGTTTTTTTGGGGTCTTTTTGCTGTGCTGTCTCTCTGAATATATGTTATAAAGAGGCTGTGTTTGGTAACAGCACAGTGGCTACAGACTTCCACTGGCTGCTTCCGAGTCTTCTTTCTTTTTGAACCAGGAAGAGTCTACCCTCAGAACTATCTTGCCTTCACCAAATCAGTTCAGTGTCTCCAATTCCC